GCCTTTGGCCTGATCCAACATTGGCGTCTCTGAATCTATCAGGAATGCTTTAGGCTGGGCTTCTTGTACTGTGCAGAACTAGATGACCTAGAAGGCCCCTTCCGACTCTATGGTTCTTTATGTTCGGTGATTTTTTCCCCCCAGAAGGGGGGGGGGGGAGATATGGTCTCTCCACTTTCATTCTGAAGTGGTACAGTCCAGGACTAGCAATTTCTGTATTGTTTGTGCAGACAAATCTTCAGTTTGTACTATAAGCCAGCACAGAAAGTTAGTGTGATTCCTTAGTCACAGGAATCTGAAATAAGTTCCTGTTAAATGTCACACTTTGGTGGCTTTCCCATCTGATACCTGCCACTTGGCCCTGACTCAAAGTGCAGAAGGCAAAGGCATCTATTTGCCTTCTTGAAGTTAGACAACATATTGTTGCTCTCCGACAGCAACACTCTGAGTACAGATCTGCAGAAGAAAATGCTGCACGTAACTATGAAAACAATACAAAACATGATTCAGGATGCTACAATATTCTTATAGTGTGTATATGACAAAAATATGTTCTGAGAGTTCTGAAATGCTGTTTTTAAGTCATTCTTGACAGTCCCATTTCCTTTGGGACACAATGGTGTATTGCCATCTTTGGTATTTCCCTTGGAGGGAGGTTTGCTCCCCCCCAAAAAAAAGGCCTACTTTCCCCAGGAGAATCCATCTTTCTCTGTTGAGTAATCTTGTCTGAAGCTATCTGGATTCCACTGAGCTTTGGACACATGATTAATCCTCAGAAGGTTTTGTTGCTTTGGGAACTGCTAAATAATGAGCTAGAAAATATGTTCTTCTCTCAACTCCCTGAACAATCCTCTTCCTATGTCCATCTTCTCTTGACAAATATATACAAATAAATAGTATAATGTTTATCGAACTGGCTTTCATACACAGTGGTTTGAATGTTCCTTCTACAACCTTTTGCCAACATACCTGGGCGGCAATAGACCTGAGAGATTCCATTCTCTATAACTTTACTCAGAAGTAGGTCTCACTATGTTTAACTGGTAAAGCGAGTGTGTATAAGATTGCAGGCTATGTATGGTTCAACCACCTCTGCCATGGATCCTTAGCTTTGCCTGTGAAACAGAATACTAGAAATGTGGAAAGGATTCTGTTGGGTGACCTGTGTAGAGACTCATGTCTCTTGCCGAAGGGACTAAGAGACTTTTTGCCCCTCCCTCCCCCATTCTGTGACTGATGTGGGAAGAAATTCTCTGCTCCTTTCCTTAGGAACCAACTGCAATGTTCAGGGAAAATAGCTGTATTGTAGAATGCTGGTGTGGGCTTGTGGATTGTTTCTGCCTATCGAAATCTCCCCACTAGCACTTCAGGGAGAAGGGTTTTAGAATTAATCCTGATGAGCTAGCTTTCAAAAAGCAGGCAGTATTTGATGTGGGAAAACATTCAAACATAACCTCCTGTCTGTGTTTTGAGCTGCTGCACTCCTTGAAAAATTATAATAATAGCAATAGTAATTCTTTTCTGTCCTTGTCCTGTGGATCTACAAGGCAGCTAACAACAATACAAGAAGAAGGAAGAAGAAGAAGGAAGAGGAAGAAGGAAGAAGGAAGAAGGAAGAAGGAAGGAGGAGAAGAAGGAGGAGAAGAAGAAGAAGGAGGAGGAGGAGGAGGAGGAGGAGGAGGAGGAGGAGAAGGAGAAGAAGGAGAAGAAGGAGAAGAAGGAGAAGGAGGAGGAGGAGGAGAAGGAGAAGGAGGAGGAGGAGGAGAAGGAGAAGGAGAAGGAGGAGAAGAAGGAGAAGAAGAAGGAGAAGAAGAAGGAGAAGAAGAAGGAGAAGAAGAAGAAGGAGGAGAAGGAGAAGGAGAAGGAGAAGGAGAAGGAGAAGAAGAAGAAGAAGAAGAAGAAGAAGAAGAAGAGGAGGAGGAGGAGGAGGAGGAGGAGGAGGAGATTGGATTTATACCCCGCCCTTCACTACCCAAAGGCGTCTCAGAGTGGCTTACAAACTCCTTTCCCTCCCCCTCCCCACAAAAGACACCCTGTGAGGTAGGTGGGGCTGAGAGAGCTCTGACAGAAACTGCTCTTTTTTCAAGAACAGCTCTTATCAGAACTATGGCTTGCCCAAGGTCATCCAGCCAGGTGCAAATGGAGGAGTGGGGAATCAAACCCGGTTCTCCCAGATTAGAGTCCGCGCATTTAACCACTACACCAAACTGGCTCTCACACCAAACTACATTCACAACAAAACAAAAAGCAATATAAAAACCACAGTTTTACATACACCTATTTAAAAATTAAGAGAGGCTTGGAAACATAACTAGTAGTAACATATATCTGAAGATCTTCCACACCCCTGCTAAATACTTTGGAAAAGACTTGCCCTAAACTAGAACCTAAAGATCAGCAAGAAGTAGGCATGATGAACTATTATCTTGGTTCCACCACAGAAAAGGCCTTGCCGCAGTTCCCACAGTGCTGAAATGTGAAGCAAGGTTTCTGAAGATGGCCTGAGTGGATTAGCTCTAAATCAAGAGAAGTGTAAAGACAAAACCAAAGGTTTTGAAAATCCAAGATCCTATTAGATACAGAATGCACTCCAGTACCAGTGCAAGTCACTGCCAGACTTCAAGCCTGCCTGAATGGCACACTCTCCCTAATCCCAGATATGTGGGAACTAGCTGTGATTATTCAGTGGTAGAGGTATATTCTGCACCGATTTGGGCATATTCTCTTCTTTATTTCTACATTCTCTTCTTTATTCCCAACAGTTTGACTGGTTCTAAAACTGGAGCCAAATATAATTTCTAGAGCTGATCCCATAGTTATCAAATTCAGCTATGGTACGTAGTGACTTTGGACAAACAGATACTGCAAACACACATCCTTTTGTTCATTTGTTTGCAAAAACAAAACAAAAACTGCTTTATCCTTCTATGCCAACAGAACAAACTGATTTCCCCCCAAAGTACTACAACAGAGCAACTGGGAACTGTACCATTCTGCTGCTTAACAGTGCAATCTTAGGCAGAGTAGCTCCAGGCTAGGTCTATTGAAATGGAGCAACTCTGCGCAGGACTGCACTGTAGGTAATGGGGGACTGCAATTGGGTGGGGTTTTTTTGCAAACTCCAACAAGCCTAACCTATAACCATCTCTGGCCATCATATCTGCAATAGGATGCAGGTTCTGCCAAGAACAGACTACTTGATTTCTCTGACCCAGATGGGTCCCGATACCAATTTCCACTGACCCAGATTTGTTGGAATGGCCAAGTTTGACATTTGCACCATTGACAAGAGATCCAGAAGGGCCTTGTGCCAAGTCAGTTAATGGTTTATCCTCCCCTTCTTTTGGCATTTTTAGTTTGGAAAAAAAGACCTTTTCCTCCCTTTGCCTTCATTTGGCTCAGGCAGAGCATCTGTGTGCTTCCAGCTCTGTGAATAAAGCCATACTCTGCAAAACTATTCCATGGAAATCCAGGTCCACATAATAGAATTAGTGCAGGATTTCTTCCCAGTTCATGAGCACCAAGTTGATGTATTCAGTTAAGCCTTTGCCGCTTTCCTAAGTCTGTTACCCAATTAAAGAAATCATGCGGTCTGATCTTATGCACATTTACTTGGAAGAAAGTTCTCCCCTAAGCATGTTCACAAGACTGTACACATGCTATCTTATCTTGTTTCAGTTTTAATTTGTTGATTAAAACTGTCCAGAATGTACACGGGAATAAACAATTGTCCAGAAGAAATTAAAAAGTCTACTTTTTAAAATATATTCTAGCAAACAGCATGCAAAGGAAACATTCGCTCCTGGAAAAAGGGGGCAAGGAATGCAGCTTTTAAGGTGCTGCTTAACACGTGCGATTTTAATGATATTAGGAAGATTTTTTAACAGATTTTTTAAAGATTTTTTTAAAAAACTGCTGCCCAGTTAATTGGCTGACACCTTTCTACTAATCAGAAGACGGTAAGCATTGCACCCATATTCTTTTCTCATTTTCTTTCATATTCCAAGGGAAGTACAGTCTCACTTTAAAAAAAGAAATAAATCCTCTAGTCCTAGTTTCTGAGGGCGTCTGGATTGCATTTTTTCCTATTTAGTCAGACAATCTGCAGAAAGTTTTATTTCAGGACAATGAATTGCCAAGCAGTATTCTAGTTTATGGGGGCATGTTTAAAGCAATGCTTTTGTTGGCTGCTTGGCACAATTGATGTACTAGTAACGTTAACCTTCATGCTCAGAAACCAACATATAATTGCTTAAAACAGCTTTCTCTGATGGAAGCCAAAACAAACTGTCTTCATGCCAAAACAGCTGCTGTTTTTCATTTGTGAATGTGTTTGGTAATTTTAAAAATAGGTTCCTGTTCACAACAGCCTTGTGAGGCTGGGTCATTTTTATTCCCCTTTCACAGATGAGCAACTGAAGTTAAGAAATACTAACTGGCCCAGGGGCTCAACTCCAGGACAGAGGTGGGAGACATATTCTTCCAGATAAATAATTATCCAGTGGGCACAGGCCAATAAATAACTTCAGGTCAAACAGCTCCAACCAGAAAATAAAGTGGAAGACATTTCATTCCTGTAACAGGATATGCTTCCTTTTAGAACTTTCTTGAACATGCTGTTTATTTGTTGGAAACTTGTCAGGATTCCCAAACAGAGATAAATGTGCAAAATCATATGCCACTAATCATGCAAACTCATATGCAACTTGATTCAGCTTGTGCATTACAATCCATTTATCCCTTTAAAAAGTGTATAGGACAGACAACGAACACTGGACAATAGTGGAGAGTGATGACTAACGGTTAAAGAACAAGCCACCACTGTGATTCCACAGTTTCCTGGGGGGAGGGGGGGGAGAGTCCTTGTCCTTTCTCTGCTGATCTTCCAAACAAGACCAACCCCACAAGCCACACCCCGACACTCTCCTACTCCTTTCCCCTTCCCCTCACACCACCTCATCTTGCTAGAGAGGGGGAGCAGGCGTATGCGACTTCCCTACCTTGACCACATCGTCGTTGAGATGCTTGGGGTCTCGATTGACCAGGTCGATTTCCTTCGTGTGCACGTCGTGGATCTCCTTCTCGTTCATGTCATCTGCCATAGCCTTGTTGTTGGGCTTGTAGATGTTGCCTTGCTCTCTGATGGGCGCTGTGTACAAAAAGCCCTAGAAAGGGAGGGGGGAGTGATCAGCCCGCGGCACTATACACGAGGCGGAGGGAGGGTTCGTCCCAGAGTTTCACAGCCCCATCGGATGTCCGCAGAGCATCTGGCGTGGGCAGGAGCGCGTGCGGAGGCAGCAGACGCTTCGTCCAGGGAATGCCCCAAGGCTGGCTTTTTAAATGGATACAAAGTACCTACACCACACCCCTCGCTACCAGTCAGAGGCGCGACTCCGACGCCAGCCGCCAGGGGTCCCCTCCGGGCGAACGCGGCGCTCAGGGAGAGCCAAGGGAACTCCCCAGCGGGCAGGGCGCTGTCCCCCTGGCTCTGCCCCGCCGCTGGGAAACAGCATCACACGATCCCCCAAATCGCCTCGCCTCCAGGGCCGTTTCCCTACGAGAAACCCGCTGAATCCTAACACGACCCCTCTGGCTTCTTCCCACGCCTGTCCCAGGACTCGCGCCAAGGGCCTCGGCTTGGTCTGCAGGCAAGCGCGCCGACGCGTAGCCCCGATCCTCAGCGTGTTTACTGGAAGTGCGTTCAATAATCTCCCAATAAAGGGAGTTCAATAATCTCAAGCAAGGAGACTTCCACCCCTTAAGGTGTTCGGGGATCGCGGCCTTGAGTCCCTATTTGGGAGACAATTCTCCGGCACCTCGATCCTCAGCTCTCTGCCCCTTACTCAGAGGTAGACCTGGACACCTGAGTTATTTACGCAACTCTTGGGAGAAAGAGAACTCTACGGCAGTCCTGTGTAAGCGCTCCCAGAAAGGCAAAGGAAAGAATGAATTTTACAGAATTAAACTTATCCAAAGTTTTGTAAACGAGACACGCTCCTTGGTGTCTTCCGAAAAGCCGATGCTACTACGACTTAGCCTTGCATCCATACTTGGGCATTCCTTACTTCATTAGTCCGGAATCAGTACCATCCTCAGGATCCCCAGTTACGAGGATTTGAATCCCGACCACCCATAAGCATGCATTGAGCGGATGGGGGAAAGCTGCACTCTTTAGTCACTCTGTTTAGTTCTACCGGGCGATGAAAGAGAGGCATTTGCTGAAAGGTCCACGAACGCCTCTGCAATGTCACCAATTCACAAAGAGTTGCCATCAGTCCCCCCCCCCCGGAGGACCTCCCTAAAAGCGAGGGGAGATATTTTTCTCTAGCCCTGAACCGAATTAGTTGGCTTTAACCCGAGGGAGGAAGGTGCGTGAAATACTAAACACTTTGATCTAATTCGGCTGGGAGTTGACAGAACACTTTATCTGAAGACAATCCCAACTTCCTGGCGCTCCCTGAGCGTCCCTCGTAGAAACGCACTTTTACTTTGGGAACACTTTCTCTTGCTTTGTAAGGATATTTCCCCTTTGGGAGGGTCGGGGAGCGTGCTTGCATGCTTTTGCACAGGTAGACCATATCTGCAAAGCGCCCCCCCCCCGCGCGCACTTACTCTAGAGTAGTCTCCCTGCAGGTCGGGTGGAATCCTGCTCGACTCCCCTGCAGCCTCGGAACGGCGTGGAGTGGAGTGGAGCGCCGGGGGGGGGGGGGGGGGGAGAGGCTAGGCAAAAGGCGAGTCTTGGGTGGGGGAGAAAACAAGTGCCCAAGCCAGCCAGGAGATCACATTACTTGCAACAACAGACCAATCACCCCCGATTGCCCTGCGAAAACAGTCTGTCTCCAAGTCTGTAAAAAAGACTTTTCTCGGGGAAGAACAAGATAAGGGAAGAGCCAAGAGTGCTCTCTGAGACGGCTGGGGCAGGTACGCGATGCCAGGAACGCAAAGCAGCTTTAAAAAAAAAAAATGTGCAAAGCAAAGTCCTCCTACCTCTGAGTCTACGTATTTGCTCCCAGACATGCTGTCCTGGGCTCGCTGGAGGCTCTGCAGAGGGGTTTTCTGAAGGGGTGCTCTCAATTATAAGTTAAAGGATCCGAAGGAGGAAGATCCTGTATTGTTTAAAAAAAAAAAAAAAAGCGCTGCCGAGTGGGAGGTTGCTGCGAGTGCTTCTCCGGGCTGCCCGCCAAGGGTTTGTTCTGCTAGCTGTAGGCTCGGAGGAGAGAGCGGGTAGGTCTCTGTTCTCTGGGCATATCCCCAGGATGCTGGGAGTAGCAACGTGGTGGGAAAGGGTGAATGCACACCAACAAGACGCGCTTGTACTATCCCAACCGCCTTCGCCCCCCCTTTTGAAAATCTGAGGCTGCGTTTTGCCTAGTCGCAGCAACCATAAAAGTACACGGGCGCGCGCGCATATGAAACGATTCCAGGCGACGGGGTTGCCACGGGAGGCGGGGAGCTGCTTTCTTGACTTTGCGTCACCTTTTGACAGAAAAAAACACTAATGATCGTTATGTATTTATTTTGCTTTCACGGGAGTTGGGTGCGTGTGTATGCGTTTCTGATTCAAACGAGAAGCCGTCGGTTGCCCCAGTCGACTCTGATCACGAGGCGCTCCCGTGCTTGTGCTTAGAGACAAGAAGCACAGGGTGTGCATCCATCCCAAAGCAAGCAAAGGTGGATAAATACGGTTC